ATACATGCACCTGCACGTGCATACATATTTCCGGTATACGCGCTGGCGCAAACGTATGTGTGTGTGGGTGTGTACTCTAGGCGCTCGCCGGGTCTCGGATGAGAGGATTTTACGGTGGTTGACACAGAACCGCGGGCGGCCCTTCCAGTTTAAACGAACCGAACTGGGTTAGGGTTCGTGGGGATTTAGCGGAGCTGTCGTAGACACCGAATGGACGGATGGATGGGTGGATGGATGGATGGATGGATGGACGCGTAGGTATCTCTTAGAGGGCCTCGTGAACCTTCAAAGATGAAGGAAATTATTAACCTATTTATGTCCGCGTATAACCGTCGTCACCGCTGCGGGGGTGAGTTCCGTCGGGATTCATATTAGCCGTTGGACGGGAACGGTACCGAATTATGAACCGTAAAACTGCAACGCCGCGTCTCGATGCGAAATACCGGCGCGATAAACACGAAGGAATTTCGATTACATTCTCGTTACCTCCGTGTCCGGCGACCGTTGCGGTCCAGGCGGGTGAATACGATCCGCGGAGCGATAAATCCCCCTCCGACGGGATGAATAAAAATAAGCTTTCGGTGGAATCGTATCGGGATCTTCTTACACCGAGAGCTGCGGGGACGATAAAATAAAACACGGACGCGCAATTTATAAGAGGATATTCTTCGTTTCTACCTTTCCCGGCGTTGCACGGTGGAGGAGTCGGAAAACACTGCGCTGTTTTTCACGGAACAGTGCGCGAAGTGGGACGGGGTCTCGGGGCCGAAATCCGGGAATTTAATATAAAGGGATTTCGCGTATTTAAATTATCTCTATTCCGCCCCTTATTTACCTTTGTAGTCTCATTGCCGTTCTCCTCCGTGCAGAAAATGGCTCTGGTCCTGGATCCTCCGCCGCAGCTCGCGCTGCACATACTCCATTCGCCGGCTACCCATCTAGAAAAGGTAAAAAGAATCAATTGAGACGCGGCGCGATAACAGCGTGTTCGTTTGGTGGCAGCCCGCCACGATGTTACGTAATGGCGGCGGCTGTGCGCGACCCGCCGCTTTCATATCTTCGGGGGAATAACCGTCTCTGACCCCCGGCCGCGGAAATTGCGCGGAGATTATTTTACGCGTCGCGTATGATCTTGTTGTGCGTAGGTACGTTCTTTGTTCTTCTTCTTCGTAGCTCGATCGTTCTTTGCGCTCGTCACTATTCGATTCCGCGGTGGCTTTCGGTCCGCTTCTAATGAATTCTATGAAGGTTACGTGGCGAACGAGTCTTATCGATGCTTGAGAAATAAGAAACATTGCAGATCGGTAAGAGTACGGTTACATTGGAATAAATTTAAGAAACATAGGATTTTTAATTGGATCCAACAGTCGCAACAGTGTTGGTCGAACGTATTTCTTGTTTCACTACGCTGCAGAAAACGAAACAAAACGTTGGCTGTTTGCAGGGAGCTTAAGATATTACACGAAACCCTCGTTTCTACGTACGAGGAATCACGCGATTCGATAAAAAGTTATTAACGTGACGGTTCCGTGAGAAGGCGTGGGGGATCCGAGAGTTAACATTCATATATGCCCACGGTAATCCTAATATTTGCATGCTTTTTCACAAAAAATGAATACTTCTCTCGACGTGAGTACGAGGGAGAGTCGCGCGACTCTTGCAGACGTTGTAATCGTCTGCCGGTGACGATTTTTAATATTTCTGGAACGCTTTTCTTCTCTTGGAAGTACGGATCAAACATTTTCTTGCAGGCGTTCCGTATCGTTCGGCGCAAGAATTAAAATTAATCCTTTCCCGCCGGAGTTCCCGGTCGAGCGGAAGTCGTCTTTGACACCGCGTTCGAAATCTAGGATAGCCGTTGGCGACAAAGCGGGCGTACAACTTCACTACAAAAGCAATTATCGATCAAAGCGGCTCGTAGTACACGATATTTATTGAAATTCTCTCTTAGGGGAATGTTCATTCCAATTAAGGAATTTCCACCGATCAATACGTTAATTGTTGCAAGGATCGCAACGATTCTCCAGCCAAATCGGATTACTCTAATTCAAACTACTAAACGATAATTATTTAAAACTATTTCCATATCATAAATAATACAACATGAAGTGCCAGCGTTCAGCAACGTAAACACTTAAAACGTAATAACACGATTCAATTGTATAACTTGATACTGCATTTTGCGCGTCATGTATATTTTATACGGTGAAAGTCCTAACGTCTCGAGCGAGCCCTACGAAAATTGCGCGGAAGCAGCAGCGAAACTTCACGAACTTAAATCGAGCTAATCGACTCGGACTTTTTCAATTTCCGGTGCATCGTGAGTTTGCGAAAATGTTCCCGAGTCGTAGGACAGATCCGTCGATCGCGTCACAGTTGACTCAGCAAGTTTCAGTCGATACACCGCTCGACAACCAACGTTCTTTGTCGCCGTATAGCGCGAGCACAGATGTTCCCGTGACCCTTCATTTTTCCCTGACGTTACGCGAGCGCCGTGCGGGCCAGCCATAATGGCAGTAGAAAACAGCGAAAGGCCCGACGAACGCTCGCCGTTCGACGGAACACCCGTTGTTCTCGACGATCATTTGTTCCGGCGGATAATTAAGGTCGATTGTTACGCTTTTAAAAAGTGGGACAGGTAGAAATCGAGAGCGGAATGAATTATGAATGAAACTCGGCGGAAATCGTAGTCGTTCACTGTCAACCGCCAGAACGCGTAGCTTGAACGTTTCAGAGTGGGTGCGGGATTACTTCTGGTGTTATTCGGAACCGGATCCAGGCCGCGCGATTAATTGCCGAATCGGTGGTCCAGGACTTGCCTGGGAATATGTCGTGCAAGTGGCTGTTACGTGTCTTCGAGGCGGCAGACATTAGCCCCTGCATGATTTACTGAGGCCACGGAACGGGGGACTAATCGCCGGGTTTGTTGGACAGCTGTTTGTCCGGGACTGTCACGTGCGAATAATTGAAATTGTCGTCCAAAACACTGTGACGCGTAAAGCTAATCCGTATAATTACATTCTCTCTTGCCTTGAAACCGTGATTCTATTATCGAACGCATTGTCGTACGATCTTACTCTTCGCGATCATTCTTTATCTAATTTTTACGATTCGAGCAGGCGCGCAAAGACACGCGGAATATTGGAAATTAGCAATTAAATAAATTACGCCCAACGGTGAGCGGAATTGAACGAAGCGAAATTAATGTCGCTTTACGTATTATCGTCGCTGGGGTAATTAAAACGTTCGCAACGAGAGTCAAATTATCGAAATGGACGATCGGGGATGGATTCGGCTGGCAATTTTAATCGGAAGAGAACCGATTGCTCGGTCGTTCCGATCGATTACCGCGTGTTTAGAGAATCTTTTCGCGTCACGGCACGTCTAATTTCCCTTCCCTGTTGACCCGAAGATTCACGCCGGTCGATTGAACGTTTACCGTTAATTACAAGAATAATGCCACCGACGTTGACACGTTACACACGCCGCGGCGCTTTGTAATCGACCGCGGCGCGCGGTTGCCGGCGCCGATCGATACAGCGGGCCATCCAGGATCGCAAGATTAACCGTCAAATCTGCCGGAAGGCGGATAATAGAATTTAATTGGGGGTGTATCCCTTGCGCGACATGGAATAATGGCCGCTGAAGTATTTAGTGGCTTAATACACAGTTGCGGGTAGGCGGCGGTTTAGGAATCTCGTCCCTCTTGTGGGATGGCTGAAACGCCGACCACTTGCACGGCCTCGCCGAACCAAATTAAACTAAATTCTCGGCCGTGGCAATTAGCACCAATTTAACGTTGACGAGGCCCACTCCACCGGTGATTTATTAACCGCCCGCGAATCCCCCCCTTCGCCGCGCCGCTCCTCGAACGTCGAACGTTCCAATCGCCTCTACAGCGACGTCCAGATTTTTAAACGTCGAACGGCTCCGATCGATGCAGGCCCTTCGGTTTTGCAACCCGAGTATACGTAATTAACGAACTACCTGCCACCGTTCAATTATTCATGATCCAATTATCGCAATTGTCGCGGAGTAATCTTGCGTCTGTCGATCGGTATTTAGTTCGTCCCTTAACTTTTGGTACTACGAATACATTTTGATTGCGTTCTGATCATAATTCTTCTCGATTGAATGCTGTTTAGGTTGTTGAACATTCTTTATACTCAATATTTTCGAATTCTTTTCGATACTTCCGTGAAAATTTCTTTCATACTTATCAATGGTATATTTTGGTGTACATTCAACACAAATCGAAATTACATGTTTCAATTACTATAAATACAGAATTTTCTAGCGATTCATTATTCAATGTAATAAATTCTTGATTAAAGGTTCACATCATACTTGCTTGTCAATGTGAAATTAGAAGCACGCGTCTAAAGATACTCCGTCGGAAGGCCGAATGATCGCGCGAGACGTTCGATAATTTAATTCGAACGGGGATAATGTGATTGGAGTAAATCAATATCATCCCGACGAAGGAATTCATTATCGCCGGCCAGTTAAGTGCTCCTTCTTGTATATTCTGCGCGGATAGCAACCATGGGAATCTTGTTAATTATCGGTCCCCGGTACTCGCGTTTAAGGAGAGCTCTGTTTTGGAGGAGGCATCCTCACGTGGTCTCAGGGGCAAAGAGGAAAATTGGTGACTCGCATCTTGCGGAAAGTTAAACGAGAGTTCGAGCAACCGGAGCCACTCGAGATTCCGGTTGGGCGCTGCGTTCACCCACGAGTTCCTGGCTACGTGCGTCATCGAAGTACAGTGAAGTTTTCGCCCGCCGAGCGCATATAATAATGTTAAAGGACGACCGCGGGACAATGGGAGACGCGTACTTCACTGAATCCTCATAAATTATCCCCAGGAACGCTCTTTGTTCACCGCGAAACAAACCGAAACCACCGTTCCGATTTAATCCAGACGAATTTCTGGATCCCCGGTACTCGGTTACGTCGGCCATCCGCCTCGCGGCGGTATCGCGTTACAATTTTCTGCGGAAATGTAAGTACGAGCTTCGAGTTACCTTCATTCAATCTAAATGTTTCTATTTCTAGAAGCTATTGAAGTATCTAATATAGAACTTGCTTGGAAATGACTGATTAATGCCGGCTGTGAGGTTCGTTTTTAAATTAACCCTTTACACTCGGAAGCATTTCACTAGAAATATTCGACACTTTCCGATGAGACATAGACGGCACTATTTGAAACGAACTAATGAGAAAAAGTAAATTAAGAAACACGGCTATTTTACATAAAACTCACATATTGATGCGTTACGAAACTTAATATTATACATAACTGTTAAGGGGTTACGTGAAATGAAATAATACACGCGTAAAGTATATCAGAGTAATAGTTATATTTATACAGAGATATTAAACGGCGAAGAAACTATTGGTAGAAATCGGTGGTTACAAGACGGGCGTACAGTTAGAACTAAGTAAGGAAAAAAGACCCTAATTAACCAATCACTGCAAGGATGTGGGGTTTTCCAGAAAATGGTACAAGCATGGTCAATGCTTTAACTTCAACAATAACACTTCGTAACTTTGTTATATCAAATCAAATGGTGACCGAGAGTCACCTCTTTAGCGCAAAGGGTTAAAAGTTCTTTGATCACATTGTGCTCGAATGCGGAGAAATAAAAGAAGATTGCAAGATTCCTCAAAACAGAGGAACTGAATAATAGTAATATCGTAAAATTCTAATCTCCATCCGACGCAGTATCGTAAAACTCAATCTAATTCAATGTTCCTCTAATGAAATCTATACATCGATCGACACTTACTTTCCCCGACAATTCTATTACAGCCACAATTATTTAAACCCGTGTATCCCTGTCACCGATTCGATCAATACACGGTGTTTCTCGATTTCAAAGATGCCCGGCAAGACATAAATTCTCTGTGAATGAACCTCTTGTCGGATCGGATCGCC